CGAGACACGCGGGATGTGGCGCCCCCTCCCCCAGCACCTGCGCCGGAGCGAAGCCGCCCGGGCTTGTTGGGCAAACTTGCTAACCCCGAAGCTGGGTGACGTGTGAGCCATGGTTACTGCGCCTCTGCGAGCAGATGGCACGCCGGTTAGCCTTGGAAACCGGACTGCAAGCCCAGCCAGCTGTTTTTTTCCTCTGTTTCTCCCCCCCCCCCCCTTCTTTTCTTTTCTTGAAAGTCCGGAAAAGTTTCTTGGTGGTGTTCCCATTTCAGAACGTCGCCAATAATTAGAGGGGGAAAAGGCTTTATTAAATAAATCTTTGCAATAAGGACTAGTGTTCTGGGAAACAGTCAAGAACACTTCCTCCAAATTACCGATTTGTATTAGATATCTCACTCCCTTCAACTTCAGTTTCTTATTTGAAATATGAATATTGATCGAGACAGTCTTGTGTGTGCACATGTGCCTTCTAATAGATGTTATTGTTTAGATGTACAGAAAAATTGAGAAGATAGGATAGAGTTTCACCAATTTATTAACATTTTATGTTTGTGGAGTACTTTAGTTAAAAGTAACGAACCGATATTGATATGTTATTCTTAACTAAAGTCATTACCTTATTAAGATTTAATTGTTACCTAGCGTCCTTCCCCCGTCCCCTCCCTGCAAAATATACCACATCACATTTAGCCTTCCTGTCTCCTTAGGCTCCTCTTCGCTGTGACAATTTGTCATACGGTACTTTCCTCATTTTTGATGACCTTGAGAATCTTGAAGAGTGCCGGTAGGGTGTCCCGCTATTGGGATTTGAGACAGCCTTCGGGAAGGCATGTCTACAGACATTTCCTTGCAAATCATATACTTTATAGCAGGGATATCTTTCTCCTTTTTATCTTTTCTGTACCAAGTGCTCCACTTTCCCTCCCTCAACTCATATTATATATATATATTTTTTTTTTTTTCTAAATGAACTGTCTGTAGAATTCAGAATGCTCAGCCTAGTTCACTTTGTACTCTGTTTAGATTGCTAAAAATCACTGCGAAGTCATGTGTTAAAAAGACAAATAAGTATGGAAACCTTAAACATAAAACCAAAATTTGACATTTTATATTAGAGGTGATATTTTGAAATGAAATCTGTCTTGTAGGTAGAAGCATAAGGAGAGAAGTGTAAAGAATAAAACTGCAATTTATTAAATTTTGCACTTACATGGAAATAAAATTTAGATGAGGAAATGTGTTGTTGTTTTTCCAAACCGTATTAATTTACTGTGGCTGCTATAACAAATTACCACAAACTGGTTGGTTTAGAACAATAGAGATTTATTCTCTTACAGTTCTGGAGGCCAGAAGTCCAAAACCAAGCCCCACACTCCTGGGGTGATAGAGGAGAATCTGTTCTTTACCTCTCAGCTTCTGGTACCTGTAAGCAATTCTTTCTTCCTTCCTTCCTTCCTTCCTTCCTTCCTTCCCTCTTTCTTTCATTGATTGATTTGAGGGAGAGAAGGAAAGAGAGGGAGGGAGGGAGGGAGGGAGGGAGAGATCGAGAGAGAGATTGATTTGGTTGTTCAACTTATTTATGCATTCATTGGTTGATTCTTGTATGTGCCCTGACCAGGGACCAAGCCCTCAACCTTGGTATATGGGGACAATGATTCTCTAACCAATTGAGCTACCTGGCCAGGGTCTGTAAGTAAATTCTTTTTTTTTTTTTGTAATCCTCACTCAAGGATATTTTTCCCATTGATTTTCAGAGAGAGTGAAAGGGAGGAGAGGAGGGAGTGAGAGAGAGGGAAACATCAATGTGAGAGAGACATGCATCACATTGATTGATTGCCTCCCTCATGTGCCCCGACTAGGCTAGGGAATGAAACCGGCAACCCAGGTATGTGCACAAATCAAACCCATCGAACCAGGCATCCTTTGATCCACAGCTGATGCTCTAATCACTAAGCACATCAGCCAGGGCTGTAAGGAATTCTTGACTTATGGCTGCCTCATGCAGATCTCTGAGCTCTCTGCATCAGTGGTCACATAGCCTCCTCCCCTTCTGTCTGTTAAATCTCTTCTGTGTCTCTTATAAGGACACTTATTATTGAATTTAGGTTCTACCTGTATAATACAGGATAATTTTATCTTATATTCCTTAGTTACATTTGCAAAGATCCTTTTTCCAAATAAGGTGACTTTCACAGGTTCCAGGGATTAGGATGTGGATATACCTTTTTTGGACCACCATGTAGCCTTCTAGACACATATTAAAATGATTAAAAGTGTATTCATTTTCCTGATATTTCAAAATAATAGTGGTTGTTTCTTTGAGGTCAGTTTTGTTACAGACCTTTTCCTAGCATTTTCAGAGTATTTTTTTTCTATTTCCATTCAAACGTAGCCACTGTTCAAAACAAGAAAAATTCAACATGTAGCCTCAGGCACTTTATAATGCCATTGATTGTTTAAAGTAAGATTGATCTTAGATTGGGAGGAAAATTGGAAAATAAATGTTTTATGGGCAAATTCAGAGACATTACTCGAGCACTCTTATTTATATTGAGGTTTTCAAGTCCTGGAATTTTTAAATAATCCATCAATGTCCCAGTTATTTAACTGACACTGGTGGTGGCTGGGAACTTGGGTGGGGCATCAGTTTCTGCATGTGTTTCTCCGTGTGGCCTGATCTTCCTTACAGCATGGTGGCTCAGGGCTCCAAGAGTGTCTTGCCCCTGAGGGGAAATTACATTGCCTTTTGCGATGAAGCTTCAGAACTAAGGTAGCATCAGTTCTGCTGTATTTTTATGGATGAAGCAGTCAAAGATCCACCCATATTTACGAAGAACAAGGAGAGAACCTACACCCTACCTCTCAATGGGAGAAGTGTTGAAGAATTTGGGGCTGATTTTAAAACCGCCATACCAGGTTTCATGCTAATTTAAGTATATTTCAGTTCTACCTCAACAATCTGCTTGAAAGGTCGTTAACTTGGGCACAGCATAGTATTATCTATATGGCAGCAGTCCTCATGGCTCTGTATTGGGCTAGTGCCCTAGTTCTGAGTCCTGTCTAGACTTAAGAATCACCTGGGAAGATTTTTTAAAATACCAATATCTACACCCTACACCCATAGATTTCAAGTTTACTTGATCTGGAATTGGATTTGGGTTTGAAGCATTTTTTCAATATGTAGTGTCTTGTTCATTAGCATCATGCCTGTTGTATGCCTATTCATTCCTTTGGATGCTTCTGACTCAGTGGTTTTAGAATGGGATTCTCAAGTCCTGTCAATGAGAACAGGAAGAATTGGGCAGGTGTGCTACCTTCTGGAGTAGATGTAGAGGTTTCAGAGGGCCGAGTCTGGCTGATGTGTGGCCATGTCACTGGTTTTGGAAGGAGGTGAGGTTGTCCATGAGAAGTATGATGAGCAGGCATGTGATGGGGGTATAACAGAAGAATGAGCAACAAAGGCTGTGCTCAGGAGAGTGTGTATCCACGATGTCTGCATTCCTCTGTGCAAAAGGCGTCCTCCACAGCTTCTCAAACTTGCAAACAGCCTGTTACCCGTCCCGGGTTCCATATCCCAAGATTTACCTTACTTTACAGAAAGAATTGCACTGTAGTGAAATATAATTCACGCCAGACAGTCCGAGTTGTCCAGTTAATGGATAAGCTTCCTCCGATATTTTCTTCCACTACTGCAAGCACAGTCATCTTGATGTATCATCTGTTCACAAAAGTGCAACCACAGGAGGGAATTAGAAACTGAGTTTTCACCACGTGGGTAACAGAGGGACCTTGGCTTCACATCCTGGCAATTCTCAAGTCTCCTGGAGTGGATCGGTTTAGCTGTTCTTTTTAACCTGAGGGCTGTCATTTAAAATGGACTTTGTTTTCAGCCATTCGTGAGTCTGGGAATATGACACATTTGCCTCTCTAACTGCTAGTAAGTTCAGAGAAGGCAAAAATTAATTATTTCCTTTTCGAGAACTTCAAAAGAATTTTGTTTCTATATTATTTTTTATTGAATTTATTGGGGTGACATTGGCTAATAAAATTATGTAGGTTTCAGGTGTACAGTTCAGTGATACATCATCTGTAAATTATGTATTCACCATCCAAAGTCTAGTCTCCGTCCATTACCATTTATTCCCCCTTTACCCTCTTCTACCTGTCCCCACCCCCTTTCCTCTGGTAATCACCATACTGTTGTCTCTGTCTATGATGCTTTTTTTTTGTTTGTTTTTTTAGAAAGCAGAAAATTTATTCTTGACTGATCCCACGTAATGTCAGATGGAGAATAAGTCCATGATTATTTCCTGCTCATGGCCTTAGCAGCAGCAACAACAGATTAATTCCAAAGGGCAGTCATAGCTCCCATTTCAAATCACATCCAGATGCCTGGCAGTTCAAAGGGAGGTGCTTAAGCTGTGACTCCATGTCCCACAGGGAACAGAGGGAATTCATTCTTTATCTTTACAGACACATTTTCATTTTTAGCACTATGGAGCAAGGTCGTTTTCCTTAGGGAGCCTGCCATTAGCATTCTCACTAAAAGAAAACATAGCGTACTTGGTGTGCATGTGTGTTCTTGTGTGTGCATACTGAAGGTGAGAATGCAGAAGGGGACCGTATTGTAACAAACATTCCAGACCAGAACAGATAGGATGGATTTTGAGCTGGGTTGGGTATTACTTGGAACAATGGGATAATGTGCCATGGGGTACCCCTTTACATGGTGCCATTTATATGCTGCAGGTTTGGGCCT